AAATTTTCCAAAGAAATTTTTCTATGTTTTGAAAACATCATATTTTTTCACAATTTTGAGCCAATTTTTCACCATGATGAAAGATGATTCAAAGGAAACTTTCAACATGAAAGTTTTAGATATCAATGATATATAAAACATTTCTTTACACAACTCCTCCTAAACATGCTTGGATCTCAAGTTATTAATCCATGAAATCATGGTCATGAAACTAAAACACTTAGTGAAATTTTGAGCATTTTGGTCAGGATTTTGACCTAACTTCTGAGCCAAGTTTCACATAGTTACATTTGGATTTTGCAAAAGTGATTAAAATAGGGTTTGTAGAGCATATTACAAGATTTCTAAAAAGACAAAGAACTCCTTGAGATCTTTTGTGAGCAAGGAGAATCGAAGGTCAGAAGTTAGGGTTTCAAGTTGTTTTACAAGGCAGAATTTCATGATGAACAAGAATGCAAAACCATGCTAGGCTGCACAATCTTTGCTTTGCAGGCCTCAAACTTGTTTGGAACTCCATAATTAAATGTTTGCACAGCTGTTAGAGGCTTCAACTCAAGCATTCAATGCATTGCCCATGCTTAATGCCATTTTGGGAAGAAAGTGCACATTGCCATTTTGGAAAAGTAACTTTTATGTACAAAATCAGTTATTGGGCTTTGCAATTGTTTTCTTCTAATCACACACACCTATAACCCAAAAGAAACTTGTCTAAAGCCTCTTGGAACTTAGGCCATGCTTGTACTATGCCTTGAAACCATATTCCCACTTTTCTTCAAAATCAAGTAACATAGTCATAAGTCTATATCGTGTACTTCTGACACTCTCAAGCCTCAGAACATTTTCCTTACTTATGCACAAGTTGTTTGCATCAAAACACACGCATGCTTAAGCCCTCAAACACCCTAGAACTCAGAATCACACAAAAAAAACTCCATTGTTTCATAATCTGACAAAAAAACTTGAAACTCACATCTCCCTCGTGCGTTTCCAATCCTTTTGGTTCCTAAAGCTTCTAAACATCAAATACAACTCATCCCTGACCCTGTTTCATAACTGTAACTCCATCTTCATCAACCTCCAAAACAAAAATAGCATTCTACAAGTTGACTTCTCCAGACCATTCCAGCCACCTTCAGCTCAAGCCAGCCATTGCATTAGCTTTCTAGAGGTCCAACGAAGCTAACCAGATCATTACAAGACCTTGAAAGCTGCTCAAATTCAAAACACGAATTCCATTTTCAAGGTGAGTTTTCTGAATTTTGAACTCTTCATATAGGCATCATTTGGTTTCCATTTGTGAAGATAAAATATAGACATCATAGCCCTGAAACTAGTCATGTCCTTAGATTTCATTTATGTTGCTTGAGCATGGAGAATTTTGAGTTTAAACTTGCTGAAACATTTAGGTTAGAATTTGGTACTTTCATAAATTCATCTTTATCTTTGAATGTTATCTTAAATTAGTTACATGGTTGGTTTCGTGGTAAAAAAAATACACAAGTTTCATGTTTACATTTCTGAAAATGGTTGAGGAATGAGCACGTTTGAAATCCTTTGGCTGGAGGTTAAAGATGAAGTACAGTCAGGACAAGTTTTATGTTATGTATTTATTTGTGTGTCAATGTTAACAGATGTATCACCACCCCAGTGGTTAAAATGGGCGTCTGTAACAAGAGGGACCTGGATTCGAGCCCTAGTGGTACTCTTTTGGTTATTTTTTCATATTTTCTCTTTTTTTCCCTTGTTTGCAGGCGCTGGGCTCCTCTTGTTGGGCTTAATATTTTTACTCATTTCATACTCCTTGATTATGTTTCAGACCCCGTGACCCATTTATTTCTTTTTTTTATTTTTTCATTTTTTATTTTAGTTTCATATTTTTCATTTATTATTTTCATTATTAATATTATTATTATTATTATTATTATTATTATTATTATTATTATTATTATTATTATTATTATTATTATTATTATTATTATTATTATTAAAAGAATCCAAAAATATTTATTTTATTTTTTTACACTCATTTATATTTTATTTTTCATTATAAAAAACTAAAAAAAGAACAAAAACAATTTTCTTAATAAATTAATTTCTCTTTCTTGATTAATATTTAGATAATTAAGTTTAATTATTATATTATATTATTTTTTTGTAAATTAAAATTAATTTAAAACTTAGGCTTATTCTAATTAAATTTTCTATTATTTCTTTTATTTAAAACCTTTTCATAAAAAACCCTAGAAAACCATTTTTAACTTATTTTTCTTTGTTAATCAATTTAAATTTAAATTTTAGTTAATTTCCATTAATTATTTTTCTTAATTAGGTTAAGATCAAAACCTTTCATAAAACCAAATAAAAATTATTTCTTTTTCCATTTTACATTCTTACATTTTCATCTTCATTTTTGTACAATATTCAATATAGTTGTAATAGTTAATTAGATTTAATTTTCTTGTAAAAATCCTCATTTGTAAATTTGTATACCCCCTCTCCTAATGATATAATAGCTTAGTATTTTTATTTTCTGCAATTTAATGCTTTATATACAAATGTTAGTAAATTAGGGTTTGTATGGAAAGATAAAATCAATTCTTAGAAAACCCTAATTCAAAGACAAAACAATGCATGTAAATTAATACACTTGCACACTTACACCCTTAGGATAAATCCACTTTATTTCCTTATGAAAATGGTCATATTATGCATGTGAGGTATCTTAGCAAAAGAAAATAAAAAAATACAAGATCATAGTCCCTCGATGACGCTATCAAAGTTGTCTTTCAAAAATAATCTTAGTCCCTAAAGAAAATGCTAAGATATCTTACAACATTGCTAATCATGGGTATACGATGACCCATGCCCGTCCCTTTTTACATCCAAAGATAGATTTTTCTATCAAATCAATGGTAAGATAACAATGTCAAAGGAAAGAGGAAATAAACATGAAAGACTTTTGAGTAGGTAGAATGTTCCTAGTTGCTTGCTCATTTTCAAACCAAAACATCCTTGCTATTTTCAAAACAAACACCAACACTTTCAAAAACATCTTTCAAACTTGAAAACATTTTCAAATGATCAAAACTTTGTATACATTCTTATGAACGAGAATCATTCCAAAGTTTGCCTAAACGATGACCCTTTTCAAAATACTTTCAAAAAACCACACAAAACACATTTTCAAACAAAAGCAAATGATCTAACAAGCAACTAAGAGCCCGTAGATAACTACGGATGAAAAGGGTGCTAATACCTTCCCTTTTCATAATCTACCCCCCGAACTCAAGAAAACATCTCAAATGTCTTTCCTTTTCTTTTCAACCTTTCCTTTTGGATAAAAGAAAAGTCGGTGGCGACTCTTGCTAACCGCAATATTTGCGATAAAACGCAAAACAACCAAGTCAGTTCTCCTACCGTGTTACACTCTTCATGTGCCATTTTCCTTTTGACTTCCTATTCTTCTCATTGAACCAAGCTTGCAAATCGATATCCCTCTTTTCCTTGTCATTATTTATCTCCTCCATTCATTTCTCATGAGCCTCAAGAAAGTTTTGAAGCTCATCTTTGCTCAACGCCGCAAGATCCTTCGATTCCTCAATCACCACCACGATGTTGTAAAATCTTGTTGTCAAAGAATACAAGATTTTTGACACAACATTCTGGTTGTAAACAGTTTCACCATATGACTTTATTTGGTTAACCAAACGACTTATTCTCGTCGCCTAATCGTTAATTTCTCTTTTTCCTCCATTTGAATTAATTCGATTTGATGTTTGTGAGTTTTTAAACTCACCACCTTCGCCTTATCATCCCCCGCGTATGCATTTTCTAAGATTTCTGACACTTGATTTGACGATTCGCAGTCACCAACTTTCTCAAAGTTCTCACCATTCACACGTTGATTGATAAAAAACAGCGCCCTGCAATCTTTCTTCTCTTTCTTATGTGTTGCTCGTTGGGCATCATTGCACCTTCGAAAAAAGGATTAATCTCATTCTTGATCACTTCAAGAACATCTTGGTAGCCAACAACACCTTCATTTACTTGCACTATTTGTCGTAATTATTCACATCAAGGAGGGGTAGATTTGTAGGGACTCTATCATTGAAGACAAAACTCATATCGGGCACTAGGTGTTTGATGGATAGAACTAGGCTCTTGATGCCAATGTTAAAACATGCAATCACAAGATTGGTAAACAATAGAGGATTTGATTGTGGAGAGTTAGAGAGAGATGAATTGAGGAAATTAGAGAGAGAGAGAGGGAGAGTGAAAATATGATTTTGCATTAACATTGATGAGAATGTTTCCAATGCATTTATACAAACTTTACAAAATGATTGAGACACAAGCAACATCATAAAACTAACTAAAAATAAAAAATTTCTAGGACCTGTAACCGGTTACACTAAATCTATAACTGATTACACTAAACCTATAACTAATTACAGCTATTACAACTCTTAAAAAAATACAAAATCAATTCAGTGGTATCCAATTACATTAACTGATTATGTTCACGATGTATTTGAGTTTTTTCAGCTGCAGAAGTGATTTTCTTAACACTTGAATTATAATTTTTTTTACTTAATACTTTTTTGTCAAAAAAAAAAATTCTATAACAATTAATTTCTAGTTCTAAAGAAAATGGAAGACCATACACTTGCAGTAATGCTATTGCCACTTTTCTATGTTAAATAAATTACATTATTTGTAATATCATCCATTGATGCATAATACTTTTTCTAGACATGTAGTCTAAAATCCGCATCTATCTTTTCCATCTTCTTTCTCTACTTTTTGGGTATTTATGTGAAATTGTATATTTCACATAAGTATGAGTTAAAATATTATGATATGTATATTAAATTATTAATTAATACATAAATAAAATATTCGATTTAATTCTCAAAAATGAGTACTATATAAAGAACTCGAAGATTGTTGTGCATATTGCGAAAACAAAAGAAAAATTGTAAGAAAATCTTCAGAGAAAAATGGCAACGCATATTTCCCACTCTCTCCTATTGGGACTTTTATGCGTTGTGTTGGTTCTGGCTTCAGGTAAATAAATTAACAAAAATTGTTCGGAAAGAAAATTACTTTTTAACTTTAATTTCTTGTATATTAGTTTTGAATTTGTGAATTTAATTTTCTGTAGCAGGGCCAACACCAGATTTGAACGAATTATCACGTTTTCCATGCATTGGGCCATGCCAAAACTGTGACCAAAAGTGCAGAAATAAGGGATATAATAAAGGTGGAGGTTGTTACTCTAGGATTTGTTGTTGTCACTTTTAAAGACAATTAATAGAAGTTATGCAATCAAGAACAACAAAGTATTCACGCCTTAATGAGATTACTTCTAAGAGGCAGAATCTATGAGAAGCTAAAATAAAAAAGAAATTAAGCAAACAAAAAGTGAGTAAAAGTTGTTTCAATAAAATAATATGTACTTTGGTAAAAATATAGTTGATATATTCAACAATAAAATTTTATTTTAGAACGTCATTGTATTTTTGTAACATTGTTTTAAAATTAGTAGAATGTATGAACTTGTTATACTTAAAATTTAAAGATTTGAGAAGAAGGTGAGATTAAAAGAAAGGTCAGAGATTTATTAAAATATAATTTGAAGCCAAAAAAATAGATCGACATAAAAATGTGTTAGTTATTCAGAAAATATTGTTTATATAAATAAAGGGATTAGATCTCAAAGAAAGAGAGAGAAAAATTTCTATCCCTTCTATCATGATTTAAGCGCATTAGATGCATAATGGGTGAAATATGTAACTCGAATCTAGTTCTAGCATTCTAGTTTTCATACACCTCAAGAAAAAGGTGATTTGCGTGACTTTTTAATAGCTCGGCGACGATTTTTGTTAGAAGTGTTTTATATTTAGAAATATGAATTAGTTAGAAGCAATTGTTAGTCATAAATAGGAGTGTAGGAGTTTTTAAGACGGTTCGTTAGAAGCTTACGTAGAAGATGTGATTAGCTGTTAGTTTAATGTTGTCTTGTTGTGTCTACGTGTCAGTTTAGTTTGTGTATTTAAATAATTTTTGTAATTGAATTTAAAAGTAGTATCATAATTGAATATTCACTATTGAGAGTTTGTTGTATTTTTCTCACTTCTCTCTCTTCTTTCATATTTATCTTCATCGTCAATTTTGTACTCTAATAATTAGTATCTAGAGTTCTAGTTCGATTCACATGGAAACACATGTGTATGTGAGGTATGTGGGATTGATTTCTTTTCTTGAATTCATGCTAAATTCACGACTAGAATCATAACAGAATTGCATTTCTTGATTTTTTGTGGGATCGAGAAACACGAGTGTTTGGTGATATCTGAGTGAGTTTTTTGCACGAGAATGACGATGAACAGCTGAAATAGCTTGAATACGAAGCTTACTATGTTTGATGGGAAGAATTAGAATCGGTGGAAGATTCAGATGTGTGTATTGTTCGGTGCTCAAGATGTTCTTGATCTCGTCAACGACGGTTACGTTCCAGTGATAGTAGATGCGATAGTGGAACAGAGAAGCACGCAAAGAGAAACGAGGAAGAATGATCAAAAGGTGATGTTCTACATCCATCAGCGTGTGGATGTGTTATAACCAGTTTTAAAATGAGAGTTGTCACCATTAATTTTTATCTTTAGGAAGGGAATATAAAGGATAACCCTAATTTGGTCAGAGATTCTAAGTTGTTGGACTCGTTCTTAGACGAATGGAAGGTGTTAGGCACCCCTCATCTACCTTGTTCACAAGGATACTAGGATTTAGAATTACGGCTGAGAAAATGGGATTTTAGCTTTTTATTAGGGAAACTCGCCATGATTTTAGTCGTATGCCTACGTATCCTCTTTAAGGAATATGAGTCTCAATTCTTAGTTCGTATGGGTTTGTATTTTTTATGGATTACACAGATATTTTAATTCTCCTTGTACTTAGTTTGAGTGTGTGAATAGCAGAGATTTTGGACCAAGCGTGCAGTTAATTAAAACATACTTCGTAACCCTCTTTGAAAGTTAATTGTTGAATAAATTTAATTATGAAAAATAATTTGGTGTTGGTTAAATGTTTTTTATGTATTAATTGTAGAAAATATATTATTTTAAATGCATTATTAAAAAATAATTAAATGCCATAAATAAAATATATTTGAATGAGTTGAAAAAATAATATTTGATTTAATGATAATAATAATAATATTAAATATATTAAAGTAGAAAATATAAAAAATAATTATAATAAAAATAATAAAGAATTAAATTAAAACGTATGGGGGTGTAAATTATATTAAGGTAGTAAAATAGGGAGGTGTGAACAGTAGGGACGTAAGTCCAGATTTTGGACTTTGTCCATCAGGCAAAGGGGGTTGTTGAATGCGCTGATTTGTAAAATAATAAAAAATCAAAAGGGAGTGATTAGTAATTGGGCCAGGCCCAAAGGACAAACGTTTGAGGAGGAGGTCCGCCTGTACCTCATGCGGGAAGGCATACGGAATTATGGTGAGTGTGCGAGGCTAAGGCGTAGGGTTGAGATCATGCAGATGTGATTGATGGAGTACGATTATTATGGTGGGCTTACGCGCACTGGAACAGAGGACATTACTTATTTTGTTTTTTACACTTATTTCGTTATTTCTCCTTTATCCTTCTCTCTGATTGTTTCTCAATCTCTCTTCTCTCACTCAAACAACAACCCTAAACAGCAAAACCCTAACTCTAAACCGGCGGCAGCGCCACCCAAATCGAACCCTTCTCTCTGATACAACAACAACAATATACCCCAGCAATAATCCCCAACCCCAAATCTCATACAAAAACGCAACAAAAATAAACCTTAGAGTTAAGTGTTTAGCTGTTACCTTCTTCGCTAATCTCTGAATTTGTTACTAATTCTCCTCTGATTACCTTTCTGTTTTGTAGGTACCGGTCGGTGTTTGTGAAGGCGATGCGATTGAGATTAAAGAGGTGGCGGCTCAGCTAGGGTCTCAGATGTTGAAACCCTGGGTGGAGGTGAACAAGAGTTGATGGTGTGGCTCGAAGCACTTACTCTATCACTTCTCTTCAAAATTTTCGGTAGATCTCTTCCCTTGTAATTTTTTTCTCTGTAAATTTCTTCTGTCAAAATCCCTTTTTTTTCCTCCTTTACTGTCTTAGAAATTTTTGGTTTTATAGTGTTTTGAGTTATACTATTTTAGGAAGTAAACTTATGAATGTCGTTATTTTTCTTGATTGATTAGCAGATTAGGGCTTTTAAGGATTTGATGTGGTTTTGTTTGTAATTTTTTATTTTGTGTAAAGTAAGGATTTGATTTGTTCTGTAAATGTATTGATTCTGTTACGAAATTAGTTAAGACTTGATTTGTTTCTGTTTTAGTCAAGATTCAATGTAAAGAACTGTTCCTATTTTAAGTCATGTTCTGGAAGATTAATGTAAAGATTTGATAATTGATGAATAATGATTTGATTTGGTTTCTCTTTTAGACATGCGTTATTTTTCCAATTAATCAGAATAGTAATTGTTAGAACCTTAAGACATGCATTACTTTTCTATAATATATAAACTAAGTATTATGAGACTTTGGGTTTGGGCCTTGTTTGGTTGGACCGTTGTAATGGACCGTGTGTTTAAGCCTTTGTTTCAACTATAATTGATATTATTGAACTAAAATAATAACTTTGGCAATAATAATAAATTTGGTAGTAAACATATTTCTCCAAACAAAAAACTGGAATGGGCCGTATTTGCATTAGTTATTGGGCCACTCATCTTAAAAACAATACCCCTCCTCTTATGCGCAAAATGGGCCTACTGATTTAATTATATTGGGTCTTAAACAAAATGAATTGTTTTATATACCTTCCCCTTTAAATGGGTCATTCTGATTTAGAAATGGCCCAAGATTTCTTCAATAGCGTGCACCCCCTTTTCAATATTTGTAAAGGACTAAAATTACATGGACCCCTTTTTGATTTAGAAAGTCTTATGATTTTTCAAAATAGTGTACCCCCATTATAAAAATGCGCCCTCTCTCAAAAGATGAATGAAACCTTAATGGACAGTCAGATGTTGATGGTCTGTTTAAATCAATACACCTCTCTTCCCTATTTTAAAACCCATAAATATAAATAATTTTTAAAAGAAAAGTAAAATAATGTGATTATTTGATGGATCGAATTTGGGGTATGACAACTACCCCTATTTAATTACCTTTCGATTGAATAGTGCGAGAATACGTAGGTTTCACGCGTTCTGGTCAGAAGTTTATTAAATATTGGAAGATCCCAGAATTTGTCCAAAAAATTTAAAGGATACGATGTACAGTGTTCCCATGGGTATGAAGGATAGGCATAGATGATGATGTATCATCTTACCAGTGTTCGAACCAATGTTTCGTTTTAACTTAGATATGACAACGCGAATAACTCGTTAGTATCTAAGAGATATTGTAGATTTCTTGCACATTTACCATAACCTAGGAGGTAAAATGATACATTTTTGCAAAGTTGACTTACTAAAGCTTGGAAACTAATATAGTAAGTTTATGACGCAAATTTTGTATGTTCATCGCAACCCAGTGGGAGAATAACATAGATCTTGATGATACATTGCCATGTGTAGACTAACGCAATGAATCATATGGCCGAGAAAGATAACTTATTGTTGATTCGAGATTAATGCAATGAGCCAAAGATTTTTTTGTATACCTACCACATAGATAATACGAGCTTGAAACCAGATATTTGGAACTTGGAAAGATGATGTGAGTTGTGTCAGCTCTTAACCAAAACTTGATAACCAAATGAAATATGCCAGGTTTTAAGCAATGAACCCCAAATTCATGATGACGTCGATTGTGTCGTCCTTAACCATGACTATCAACATGAAGAAATAAACCCCAAATTTATCGAAGATGTCGGTTGTGTTGTCCTCAACCATGACTATCAACATGAAGAAAGTAAACCCCAAATTCATCGAAGAATTCAGTTGTGTCGTCCTCAATAATGATTATCAACATGTAGAAAGTAAACCCTAAATTCAAGATAATGTAGGTTGTGTCGTCCTCAACCATGACTATCAACATGAAGAAAATAAACCCCGAATTCAAGATGAGGTCAGTTGTGTCGTCCTCAACCGTGACTATTAACATGAAGAAAATAAACCCCAAATTCAAGATGATGTTGGTTGTGTCGACCTCAACCATGACTATCAACATGAAGAAAATAAACCCTAAATCGCTTAAATTTGGACCATTTAGTTCCCCCAAATAAGCTTGCTAATGACGG